CCCCGAGATGAAAGCCAACTAAAGCGTAGGACGCCACCCAAGAAAAACAAAACCACGCAGGAGGAGGTGACCACCAACCCTGCAACCAAACAGAGTAAGGTGGCGCCAAACGAAAATTCCGGCAAGATTAAGGAGAAGGAGGTGGAGAAAGAAGGAAAATGGGTAGAGGTCCAACGCAGGTCACATGGCAAAAAGAAGATGGCATACAAACCACCACCACGGCCAGATGCCATCATTATAGCTCGGACGGGAGATATGACCTACAGCGATATACTAAGGACCGTAAAAAAGGAAGAGGCGCTGCAGAAACTCGGCGAGAGCGTATCACGCATCAGAAAGACGGTCAAGGGTGAAATACTGCTGCAGCTTAAGGAGACGCAAATAAAGGACACGGGCGAACTCAAGAGCAAAATAGGTAGGCTTCTAGGGGACCAGGCACAGATCAGAGCCCTAACCCACGAGACGATGGTAGAAATCCGTGACCTGGACGAGATTACCACCAAGGAGAATATTGCCGAGGCCATCCGCAACCAGATAAAGGAGCTAAACCACCTTAACGAGAGTGCGATAAAAAGCATCAGGGCGGCTTATGCGGGCACACAAACCGCGGTGGTAAATCTCCCAGCGCAGGAGGCAAGATTACTTCTTGACGCGCAGAAAATAAAGATAGGATGGGTTGTGTGCAGAGTAAGGGAGAAACCGAACCCCAAAAAATGCTTCAGGTGCCTGGAATATGGCCATATAGCGAGAGACTGCAAAAACGCGGAAGACAGAAGTCAATGCTGCCTAAAATGTGGAGAAAATGGACACTTTGCGAAAGCCTGCGACAAAAAGCCACACTGCAGAGCATGCAAAAACCAGGGAAGAAAGAACACCGAGCACCAGATAGGTAGTTGGAGGTGTCCGCTATACCAGGAGGCGTGCAAGAAATCAAGAAAATGAGAGTCATGCAGTTGAATCTCAACCACTGCGAAGCAGCGCAAGAGCTGCTCAGGCAAACGGTGTACGAGGAGAAGGTGGACATAGCAATAATCAGCGAGCAGTATAAAAATATAGACAGTGGAGCATGGATATCGGACCTCACAGGCAAAGCTGCAATATGGACATGCGGAGGAAAAGCTTTCCAAGAAAAGCCGCTGCTTGGTAAAAGCTACTACACACGAGCGAAGGTAGACGGTTTTAACTTTTATAGCTGCTACATACCACCAAGTATCCCACAAAATGAATACGAGAACATCCTAGACAGTTTGGTTCAAGAAGTCCGGACCACCACAATGAACGTTATAGCAGGGGACTTCAATGCATGGGCAGTGGAATGGGGTAGCGTCCACACAAACAGGCGGGGAGATGCACTACTAAAGGCGTTTTCGGTACTTGATGCGGTGCTTCTGAATTCGGGGAACAAAAATACCTTTGAGAAGAATGGTCGAGGCTCGGTGATTGACATTACTTTCGCTAGTAGTTCCTTGGTGCGCTCAACGAGCTGGAAGGTGTCGGACCTCTATACGCACAGTGACCATCTGGCAATCATGATGGAGCTAGGGAATTGTGCACAGAGCCGACAAAGGGCGATCACCAGGAAGGTGCAAACGAGGGGCTGGAAGGTAGAGACTCTGGATGAAGAGCTCTTCAGACTCGTGCTGGATGAGGAAATGGCCACTGAGGATAACACTGAGCTCCAGGCTGAAACACTGGTGAGGCACATCAGTAAAGCCTGCGACGGTGCTATGTGCAGGAGAAAACACGGCTCTCTCAGGCAGCCGGCGTACTGGTGGAACGAAAAAAAATCCAGGCCATAAGGGGTGAGTGTCATAAGGCGAGGCGGTTGTGTCAAAGGAACCGTGGCTCGATGGAACATGCCGTGCTGCGCGAAGCCTTCAAAAAGAAGCGAAGTGACCTTAAAAAAGCCATCAAAAGCAGCAAAACCAGCTGCTTTAAGGAGCTCTGCGAAAAGGTGGACGAAAACCCATGGGGTGATGCCTACAAGGTGGTCATGAAGAAAATAAAAGGTGGTAAAGGCCAGGCACCAACCTGTCCCACCCTCCTAAAAAACGTCGTGCAAACTCTCTTCCCTGTGCAAACGCCAGGAGGTCGGCGACCGCAAGCGGAGAAACCGGAGGGAATGGAAGCACCAACGGTTACAGACGAGGAGGTGGTCCAAGCAGCAGAAAGATTTGGTAATGACAAAGCGCCAGGCCTAGACGGAATACCAAACAAGGCTCTGAAGGTTGCCATCAAGCACAACACGGGTCCGTTTACCGAACTCTTTACGCGGTGTCTGCGAGAAGGCGTCTTCCCAAAAATCTGGAAGAAACAGCGGCTGGTCCTACTGCAGAAACCAAACAAGCCGGCAGGAGAACCAAGCGCATACCGACCTCTCTGTATGCTGGATACGCTTGGTAAGATACTGGAGCGATTAATTTGTGTACGGTTGGAGCAGCACCTAGAGGAGGAACTGCCGGGTCTCGCCGATAACCAGTATGGATTTCGAAGACAGAGGTCTACCATTGATGCAATTAAAAAGCTCACCGATGTCGCAGGCAAGGCAATAGAAGGAACAAGATGGCTATATGGCACGAAGGAATACTGCGCGGTGGTGACATTCGACGTAAAAAACGCCTTCAACTCGGCATCCTGGCCTCACATACTAAGTGCTCTGGAAAGAAAGAACACGCCGCCCTACTTGCTAAGGATGGTATCCAACTACCTATCTGACAGGCTTCTGCTGTATGATACCGACGAAGGCCCCAGGAAGTACTTGGTGACGGGTGGAGTACCACAGGGCTCCGTACTTGGGCCACTACTTTGGATTGTCCTCTATGATGGAATTCTGAGACTGCCGCTGCCAAGGGAGGTACAAATTATCGGATACGCCGATGATATAGCAATAACAGTAGTGGCCAAAGACCTCTACCAAGTTGAGAACATCTGCAACAGCACGGCGCAGCAAATAAAGAACTGGCTCGCTGCAACGAATCTCCAACTCGCAGGGCAAAAAACCGAAGCGGTGGTGATCACAAGCCGAAAAAAGATGGATAGCGCTACGCTCAACATCGATGGACATAGCATCAAAACACAGCAGTCGCTGAAATACCTGGGTGTCATGATAGACTCGAGATTAAGCTACAAGGTGCACATTGATAAAGCTTGTGAAAAAGCGGCAAGAGTGACCACGGCTCTAACAAGACTAATGGCTAACATCGGCGGACCGAGCCAAAACAGACGAGCGCTTCTAGCAAAAGTGAGCCAGTCCATACTAATGTATGCAGCACCCATCTGGGGACCCGCGTTGCAGCGCAAGACTTACGCGAAGGCGGCAAAGTCGGTGTACCGACTAAATAGCATCAGGGTGACTAGCGCCTTCCGTACTGTGTCACACGAGGCGGTCGGAGTCTTAGCGGGCATCATGCCCCCAGAAATAATGGCCATGGAGCTAAAAAGAGTCTTCGATAAGTCGCGAAACTTAGGCAGGTGCCTGACAATCGAAGAGCGAAAACAAGAGAGAGATGCAAGTCTAAATGAATGGCAAAGACACTGGGATGTGACGACAAAAGGGAGGTGGACGCACAGGCTGATCAATAACATAAAACCGTGGGTGGAGAGGAAACACGGAGAGACCGACTTCTACGTAACACAGTTGCTGACGGGGCACGGCTGCTTTCGAGAATACCTGTTCAAATATGGGCATGATGACGGGACAGAGTGCTCATTCTGCGGTAGCGGCGACGAAAACGTACTACACGTATTTTTCCACTGCCGAAAATACGAGGCAGATCGAACAGACATAGAGCAGCTGATAAAGGAGAGCATGACGCCTGACAATATCGTGGGGCACATGATAAACTCAAAAGCGGTGTGGAGCAGAATTAAGGCGTGGTCCGCAATAGTCCTCCAGGAGCTAAGAGCGAAAGAACGACAGCGCAGTAGCGAAAAGAGAAGACCGAACGAGAGATAAGCCAGAAAGGCGTGTGTGAAGAGCCAATTGGCAAAGCTACGCCTTGCGACGTAATACCTAACGGCGGTCCCGCAAGGCGAAACACAAGGCTTCAGACGTCGGAGTTAAGGGTTTAGTACGTAGGCGCGCTGTCGCGCAAGTCCTAAATTATGTGATAACATAGTCTGGGCGTGGTCCCGAATGAGGTGCACCCTTAGCGGACAGGATGACGAATCGTGCATAACATCTTTGGAAGATTCCCCCTCCGTTGAAAAAAAAAATGCCCAAGAAATTAATACAACTAAAAGATCAATTATTTTGTGATCATATCGTCGAGTCATTACGTACCAATTGCAATAATTTGATGGACTATAATTTATTTCAAAACAGGGCTGACGAGTGTTGGTAGTTATCAGTTTAATACCAAATTTGAATAATTGAATGGCTTTTGCCTAGGACTTACAATTATTTTTTCTGACACTGTAAAAGCGTTTTGCATACAAGACATAGAGTTAGATACTCCTTTTAGGGAATTCTTATAGCCTAGTTGTGCATACTTTGCACTGCTATACTATTTTTACGTTAAAATCAAAACCCAACAGACTTCTACATGTGTACTGCTGTGCGTTGC